TTGGTCGGTTTCTTGTTGAGCGCTAGCACTTTGGTTCCAAAAGACTTAAAATATCCTACGTAAGGGATTCGACCTGTCCACTTCTCGTGTGGTGTGCGCCCTCCCAAGCTACTGGTTGGACACCTGTTCCGTAGATGATTCGCCGTGTTTATGGCTTCTGCCCAGAAGGTCGGTGCTAATCCGGATTGGAATAGGAGGCACCGTGCCACCTCTACGAGCGTTCTATTCTTCCTCTCAGCAGTCCCGTTTTGTTCGGGACAATATGAGACAGTGAGACGACGTTTTACACCGGTTTGCTTGAGAAATTCGTCAAATTTTGAGTTACAGTACTCCTTACCATTGTCAGACTGTAAACACTTCACCTTCTTACCCGTCTGCGTTTCAGCGAGACTTTTAAACTCTTTGAAGGCTCCTAGAACATCGTTCTTGTGTTTCAGGAACCGGACTTCGCACCATCTCGAAAAATCGTCTATAAAAGTGACGAAGTACCTCGCTCCATCGTTTGACTGAGTTCTCATGGGGCCGCATAAGTCCGAATGGATTATCTCGAATGGCTCTTCTGTGATTCGCGTTAACATTGGAAAGAGGGCTCTCGTTAGTTTTCCGCGAATACACACTTCGCATGTGGGTAATGTCTCGTCACTCTTGATGTCCAGCCCTTTGACCGCCTCAAGTTTTGCTATCCGTACGAGATCTCGCTCGTTTAGGTGCCCGAATCTTCGATGCCATTTCTCTAAATTAGACAAGCTCGAGGCCGAAATGTTCTTGCACTCAACAGGTGATTTTTCTCGCACATAATACAAATTATTGATTCTATCTGCAATTGTCCTGATTTCGCCCTGGACGGAGACGTTTCCTTCGACGACGTAAGCCGCTTTTTTCTCGAATAACACTCGATAGCCGTTGTCGGTGATTCGTCCGACCGACATTAGATTCGTGCGCAAATCTGGAACATGTAGTGCTTTCTTCAAACTTACTTGATTCTTCTTACCATTTACGTCTACGAAGAATTCAACTTTGCCTGTTCCAACGATCCTCGTTGACGCGTTATTTGCTAGGTTTAGTGTTGCTTGAGTGGAGTTCGAAAGATGTCCGAATGCTTCCTCGTCATTGCACATATGTGACGTGCATCCACTGTCGAGACACCACTTTTGATGTGCACCACCATTCTCCGCGTTAAACACGGTTTCATTTTCTATCGATACATGGTAACTGGATTTTGCAGTTTCGTGTGTGGTTTTATCCGAATTCTCCTTCTTAGATGTGCAATCGACCGCCTTGTGCCCTTTCTTCTTGCACTTATGACACGCAAACCTGACGAGCTTGATTTAGTATCGGCTGACTTTTCACTCTTACGAGACTTTGTCTTCGAGTTTCCTCCGCTGGTTCTTCTTGCAATCATTGCGTCGGGCATGTTATTTCCGGACTTTTCTTGTCGAGCTTGATGCTCCGTGACAATCTTTATTTTCAACTCTTCCGGTGACGGCAGGGAGTCTCGAGTCTCTATTGCACATCTAAAATTCTCGAATGTATTGGGTAAGCTACATAGCAGTAAAATCGACAGTAAATTTGACTTTACTTCTTCTCCCATATCGCGCAACTTATCAACGGTGTCAAAAAAATTCTTTATATGTTCATGGATACTCTCATATTCTTGCATTCTCTGTAAGATTAGTCGTTTGTACAGCGCAGCCATTCTTGCCGAACCTCGTGACTGATGAATCGACTCGAGTTTCGTCCAAGTTTCGTGTGATGTTTTACAATCACGTATTGCACTAATTTCCGACGAATCGACTAGCATTACCAATAACGACATGGCTTTATCGTCATTCTCTTCCCATGTTTGCACGGCCAGTGCGTTGTTGTCGGTAGCTTCCGGCTTCACAGATTCGCCGCTCACGTACTTCCACAACCCTTGTATCTTCAGATAAGCTTTTACTCTTACCTTCCACGAATCGTAGTTTTCCCGATTTAGGGTGTCTACTTTCAATCCGGTCACGTTCATGTTTCCTTAGTAATAAACAGTTCGTATTTAACNTCAACTGTGTGCGCGCCTATTCTTCGAGCTTTTTCCAAAGCCTTGATCTTTTCTGGGCCCATAACCTGTGGGAGCAGGAGGATGTCGCAGTGTACGACGAAGCCACGAGTAAGACACAATAGTACGAACTTTAGTTATTTATTATAGTGCGAACGCAACCAACGACAAGAACGAAGAATTGGTAGAGTTAACGGTTATCACAAGTAAGAAGAAGCACAGAGTACAGAGTACAAAGAGTACAGAAAAAACATAGCGACGCACGCGCCATCTAGACGCGTGAAGGGCGACCAATGGAACAAGGTACACGGACGCGTACTGCATTCCAACAATGAAGATCTGAACAAAGGTATCGAAACGTTTGTAATTGTTTTTGTTTTATTAAATAATAAAGAAAACCCACTCACACAAACATCTTGTGTTTTGGCTCGCATTTTTTAAGCATTCTGTTTTATCATCTCACAAGCTCATTTAAGTAATCTAATGTCAAAATTTATATAATAATCATTTATTAAAGAGATAATGTTCATTTATTATCTCTTTATTTATTTATTTACAAAAAATATCATCCAAAAAGTACAATCCTATAAAAAAAAATTTTTATTTTTTTTTAATATTACAATATTTGAACATTCTTTGTGAGTTAAAAATTAAATAGGTAATGTAAAAAAAAAGAAATGTAAAACAGAAAAAAAAGTAAGAAAACCATNAGTACATTATGATTAGCAACAATATGTAACTTCCAATTATTTTTCTCTCTTTATGAGATTCTTTCTGTAAATAATTAACGTATTCGAGACGTCCTATAACAAAACTATTCTCAAAATCCGGCAATTCTTATTTTAAGAACATCATGATCCACATGCTGAGTCATCGATCTCGAAATATTAAATATTATTTATTAGTATTAGTATCAAAATGATGACACTGATTATTTATTTTGCAGTTACTGATTTATTTTATGGAAAGACTTCTACAGAGAATACAAACAAAGGTTTAATTTTTGTAATTACAATAATACAATATTTAAACTATTTTTTATTCTAAATATTGTTTCTCTTTTGTATGTAACAAAATTATTAAATAAAAAAAATATTAAATAAATAAACAGTAGTACATTCATATGCTGAATTATCGGTCTCAAATGTGTTAAATAAAATGTGTTAAATAAATAAATGTGTTAAATAAATAAATAAAGAAATAAAAACTCATTATCGCTATCTTTTATGCCAAAATGTAGATATTTATTATTTATTTAGTTATTTATTTATTTAGTTACGCGAATAATTTCACAAAAGTATCTTATTTTCTTCAGAATATTACAATGTTATACAAAAGTTTTAAAGTTTCTTTGTACGTAAAAATTAGAATGTTAAAACCAAAGGAAGAAAAGTAAAAAAAAACTAATAAATATATGTAAATTCGGTCATGAGAGCCGTTCGCTAGGTGTTGTGCGTAAATTATACGTGTATATATATACATATATACGTGTTCAC